TTTTTCCCCTCATTTATCACAAGATTGCCTATTGGTTCAATGGATTTTTATTTTCTTAATGTTTGAGATATAATTCATATTGAAGACTGTAGTCTTTGATTTTCTGCCACACGTTCTTTAAATCTTCATGTTCTGCAAGCAAGGTTATGTTACTTGTATAACACAGGTTGTTGATGAGTCTTCCATCAATTCTGATGCCACATTCTTCTTCAAATATTCAGGTTTCTCAAATTATATATATTTGCTGACCCTGTGAATTGAATAGTTGTGGAGAAGGGATCCAACCCTAATGCACACCTTTCCTGATTTTAAATCATAGAGTCAAAGCCATCATTTTGTTTGGACAGCTGCTTCTTGGTCTATGTATAGGTTTTGCATGAACCCAATTATATGTTTTAGGATTCCCCTTTTTCTCAATTTTAGCCATAACCTCTTATGATTCATATAGTCAAATGCCTCTGCATAGTCAATAAAATCCAAGTCCACATCTTTCTAGTGTTCTTTGCTTTCAGCATGACTCAATCCAATGCAATAGCCATAAATTTGATGTTTCCTTTTGGTGGAGTTCTTTGAGGCTTTTGGGTTCTTTTTTTTTTTTTTATGCTCTAGTAGCCTAGTGGGTAAAGAGTTGCACTACAACCCAAGGGCAGGAAGTTTGAATCTACCAGTTGCTCTGTGGAAGAGAAACAGGCAATCTCTTCAATGCAATTTACAGCCTCTAACAACCTGCTATAGGGTCTGCTATGAGTCAGTTCCAACTCGATGGCAATTAGAGAGAAGGATATTGTTGTATGTTGTTGGTGTTGTTATGAGCCGTGGAGTCAGTAGCTGCCCATGCACAATTTGTGTTGTATTTTAATATGTAAAAAAGTTATGACTGATCAAGAAATGGATCTTGGAGAACTGAATATTAAATTGTGACTCAAAGAAGTATAATATCAAATATCAGAGGAGAGTGCCTCTACTGTGGGGAAGAAAATAAGTTCCTAGAGTGTATCAGGAAACACCCATAGCAAGAAAAGAGGAAGTGGAGTCTGGCAGAATTGGAGTAGATGAGACTACCAATCTTAAAAGCAATGGCCAGATGCTGGAACGCAGACAGCAATCGCTAGTGGCCCAGAGGTTGTCATCGTTTGATGATGATTAGCAGATGACACAGCTTCAGCAGTGAGGATAGATACAAACATATTTATTCTACTGGCCCTGTCGGTGATTACCTTGCAGTTAGATGTTATGTCAGAATAAGGGTACTCAGGTACCTAGGTGTAAAGAAAGCTCTTCCTAGATGTTTTAATATGGGGCTTATACCATGTTCAGAGACAGACCTTTATTTAATATACTAATACCTTAAAATGCTATTTATTTATGTATTTGTTCAATAATTATTTGTTGAAAATATAGTTTGTGCCAGAGTACACCAGTTAACTAAGTAGACAAAAAAAAAGCAACAACAAACCATTGTCATCATCCTGCTTATTTTCTAAGATACATAGAAGGACAGGTAATGGTGGTGTCAACAAAGAAAAAAAAGGGGGGGGAGAATGGGACACCTTCTGTAGACATTCTGAACTCACCAAATCCAAAATCAAACATTGTTCCCCCACAAACCTCTTCCTTCTCTTTTTTCCTCGCTCTTACTGTAGTAACATTAGCCTATATGCAGTCATCCAAGTCATGAAAATCAGTCATCCTTAATTTTCTTCCCTTCTCTCTCAGCATATACCTCTGCCTCTGGACATTAGGCCCTCTCAAGTTTTCATTCCAAAATGCCTCTATAATGTCTTGCATTTGTTTATTCAATTATTTTGACAGTTTTAGTGAAGGCATGCTGTTGTTCAGACATTAGGCCATGTGCTGCTAATACAAAAATAAATGAGACAATAAAATAGTAGAGGCTACCAGAAAAACAGATATATTTTCATAGCAAGGTGTTAGAGGCTCAGAGAGAGTGAGCCAACTGTTAATGTCTGTAGGCGTCAGAGTGGTAACTGAGATTGGGCTGGGTCTTGAAGGAGGACTTTTTGCAAATCAGAAAAGACGGTAGGAAGAGGCATTTATTTAAAAAAAAAAAAAGAAATAGTTGTGCTTGGCGAATGATGAGTAACCCAGCTGACTACAGTAAATCAAGTGGGTCTTCAGGTACTGCGTCACCTGGGTGCTTGGGAACTTCATTAACGGGTGAAAAAGGGCTGAAGGAACAAATTAGTGATGCGTTAACTTTGACATGCCTGCAAGCTATCCAGAAAGATTATCCAGTGACAGCAGGAAATAAAAACTGAAGTCACGAAAAAAAGGGTGCTGTGCGGAATAGATTGAGAAATCATCAGCATGATCATTGAAACCATAGGAATGAACAGTGAAGCCTAGAAAGTAAGAATATGTGAAGATGGATGACAGTAGTCGCCTTCTTTTACATTTCCCCCTTCCACTGCTTTTATCCTCTGATCTTCCCACCCACATCCTCTTCTCTCAACAAATTAATTCCAGCTCATGGTGACCTTGTATGATAGGGTCAAACATCCTGTAAGTTTTCTGAAGTGTCGAATTGTTAAAGAAGCAGACTGCTTCATGTTTTTCCCTGCAAGAAGCTGTGTGTAGATTTGAACTATCGAAGTTTCAGTTAGCAGCTGAATATTTAACCACAGTACCACCAGAGTCCTTTCTTCTTACATAAGTTTCTTCTAGATCCTACCACAGAAATTTACTTAACATATTTCTTTGAATATGCTAATCCCCAATCAGTCATCGTTTGTGTCAAGCATACCATTTTATCACCATTTCCCTTCTAGTCATCAAGAAAACTTGGCACTCTACCAGTAGATTATCTACTTGCTCTGCCATACCATACTCTATGTCCAGAAGGTAATAAAATCAAGAGCTATTTTTCTTTAAATGGTATCTGTTTTCCCCCTACAGATGTTGACTTTAATAATTTGTTTAATCACCCAGAATTTGTTTCTTCAAATGCTGAAAGAGGTCATATGGACTAGTATAATAGCATGTTTAGATACCTTTTCAGTACCAAAGTAGGTGCTTGATAAAAATAAAAAACCTCTTATTACTTCTATCTCTTCTTAGCTTGGCATAATCATGTTTCAAAACCAGATGTTTTTTTAAAGCTTTATACCTTCTTAAAACCTTTTCAAAATGTGCTTTACCAGAATCTTTTTACCCAATAGATGGGAAATCTCCTCCCATGCAGTTTACAGCCTCTGAAAAACTGCTGAAGGGTCAGCTGTGAGTGGCTTCTAGTTCTGTGGTACATACTTCCAACAACACACTTTGTTTAGAAAGCTCTGGTGGTATAGTCAATAGGGTGTTGTGTTACTAACCCAGAGGTCACACCTCTCTGCTGGCTTGACTCCACCAGCAGATCTACAGGAGAAACATGGGCAGTCTTTTCCTGGGGAATTTACAGCCTCAGAAACTCACTGGATGGTCAGTTCCAACTTGATGTTAATGACTGTTATACTCAAGGAGCTTTGGTGGTGTAGTGTGTACTATTATCAATCTGTGGTTAGCAATTTGAATGCAGGAAGAAGACAGTCTTCTCTGGTAAAGATTTTCAGACTCGGAATTCTGATGAAGGACAACTATGGGTTAGAATCAACTGATCGGCAGTGGTTTGTTTTCGTTTGCTTGTCTTGTCTTTTATTCCATACTACCTTGGTTGGGAGGTACTGCAGTATGGAGTAAGAGATGAAAATGAATCAAATCAAATCAAATCAAATGTAGTAGCAGTAGAGGTGGTGAGAAATAGTTACATTCTGAAGTCGGAGCCATAACAGTTTACACATGGATTGGATATAGTGTGTGAGAGAAAGAAAGGATTCCATGATTTACTCCTCGGCTTTTGGCTTGAGGAACTACAGAGATGGCTTACCATCAGATGGCAAGAGGAACCCTGTGGGTGGAGCGGGATTGGGGAAGAAAATTGGCATTTACTTTGGGCATGCTGAACTGATGACAGGTCAGATAAGATGAGGCAGAGCTATCAGCCAGCTAAATTTTGTGGTCTTTTCCATACAAATATCTAATAATGCAAATTAAAAGGACATCTCTCATCAGGACAGATTTTTTCACTTACTGAGTTTGGTATCTTATTATTAAAGTGTTTTCTTCATGCTTGAGTGGGCTTTCAAAAATATGTAATTAGGAAAAGAGTAGCCAGGATTGGAATTCAATTTCCTGGCTGCTTCTCCAATATCTGGACTGTAAAACCAGACTGAATCTCAGCATCCCGTTTTCCTTGGCAATCTAATTCATTTTTCCAAAGATGTTTTTCTTCATCTCCATTCATTTCCTTTCATCCACTCTTCAATCTTTGAGAGAAAAGAATATTACTACCCAGATCCTCTCTTCAGTGTCCTTCCAGAGGCTGAAAATATGCACTGGAAATTGAACAGACCGTTCCTCCCCAAAATGCCTGACACACAATACTACACAAGGCTGGGCCAGTGTACAAATTCTCATTGCTTTCAGAGCGAGGGTTGCTATCTACATTGAGTTACCCTTTACTGATTAGAAATGGTTTTGAAGAGATGACACTCTGAACTACCTTCCTTCTTCTTTCCCAAGTTCCTGGATAGAAATATATGGGTAGAACAACATTTTTTTTTTCTTTTCTTGTCTTGATTAGTGAGAATGCTTTTTCTGACTCAATCATTTTTTGCCTCTTAAACTTTGGTTTGTGGTCTGGTTAAATGAGGCAATTTTGATATGACTATCTTTTAAATTATCTGCAAATTTTATATCTATTATCAGACTGAGCATTTTCAGGGATCTATGGAGGCAAAAATAAATTTTACTTGGAATGAAATCTCTATATTGTGGCCTTTCTTTCCTAAGGTCTTGTGGGCCACATTATTTTTAATCATCACATTTTGAATTGGCACACGTTTACTGAAATCATTTTTCACTATAATTATTGTTTTGTTTTTATGCTAAGAAATACTGCTTAAATAACTAATTACGTATATTGTGTTTCTTGTGTTGTTCAGGACTCGAAAGGGACAAGTTCGATAATAAAACTGTTTCGTTTGAGGAGCACATTAAGTCAGAACACAATATGTGGCATTATTTGTACTTCATCGTCCTGGTCAAAGTTAAAGACCCAACTGAATACACTGGGCCTGAAAGTTATGTAGCTCAAATGATTGTGGTGAGTAACAAAAGAGTCTATACTACATTTCATATGCTCTCACTTTCTCTATCTTATCTCTTCCTTAAATAACAAATTTCTGGGTGTTACTTTGTTAACTGAAAATTACTTATGTTTTTGGCCTTGTTGAGTCAGAACCAACTCCTAGCTGACTCTCCAGAAGGTTTTCAGAGGCTGTAAATCCCTCAGGAGGGAAGCAGCTGGGGGAGTTGAACACAAATCTTTACCACTCAAGCAGGACTGTAGATCACTGAAAGGAGCTCTGGTGGCATAGTGCATGGCGTATAGAGCTGCTAGCCAAAAGTTCAGGGTTCAAATCCACCAGTGGCTTCTCAGGACAAAGATGGACAGCCTCAGAATTCCTCTGGATTGCCTCTATAAGTTGGAATCCACTCAGTGGCCGTGAATGGGTCAATTATTGAAGAGTCTAAGATTGGTTAACTCACTGGCTCCCTGTAGATGTCTTGGTGATACAAATCTCAACGTCACAGATGCTAGCTTCTAATATTCTGGATTCTCTGTGCAGTGAATAACAGTTTTGTTGTCTGTCATCTTCTGACTTCATGCTTGCTGCTATTGCTGATGTTGTAATTTCTAAAAAATCCACAATCTGCTTAGTATCAAATAGGCACAGAAAACAGATGCTTTGAGAAAGTCTTCGGGTTTGGGTTGTGTTTTTTTTTTATTAAATTAATTTATTTCTTTTTCATTTCAATGAACATCTACAGAGATTTTGGAATTCCATTCATTCATTGTTGCACCCTTCTCCCCGCCTACCCCCCCTCCACCTCACCCAGCCCGTTAGCTCCTCTCCTTGAAAAGCAAAAGAAAAACTCCCTCATTGGTACACAATCCCCCCCGCACTTCCCCCAACCCCACCCCGAACTCCAAATATAATCCACTCTGCAACCCTCATTCCGTACTCTTACGATAAACATAATGCCCTATAATATAATACTTTTAAATTATTCTCTCCTCCATAGACTTCAATGCTGTAAACATATTTCATCCAGTTTTTCTCAGTCTTACCCCCACCCCGATGCCAGCCTCATTCTACAACAGTGGCACCATATAGCATTTGTCCCTTTGTGACTGAGATACCTCACTCAGCATAATGTCCTCCAGGGTCGGGTCACCCATTTTGAATAATATTGCATCAGTTCCTTGTTTTTCAATGCAGCGTAGTATTCCATTGTGCAAATATACCACAGCTTCTCTATCCATTTGTTTGTTCATGGGCATTTAGGTTGTTTCCAACTCCTTGCTATCGTAAATAAGGCCGCGATAAACATGGGTATGCATGTATCTACTTGGATGTCATTTATGGTCTCTTTAGGGTATATTCCCAGTAGTGGAATTGCTGGGTCAAATGGTATCTCTATTTGCAACTTTTTGAGAAAGCGCCACATCGCTTTCCAGAGTGGTTGCACCATTTTACACTCCCACCAACAGTGAATAAGGGTTCTAGTCTCTCCACAACCTCGCCAGCATTTGTCCCTTGAAACTCTTCAGGTTTTGAAAATCAGGAGTGTAACAAAATGAAAAAGTACATTGAGAACAGCATAAAGCCCAGTCCTTGTGAGAGAGCACCTGTTTACTGTCAACACACACATATGATTATTTACAGCTGTTTGTGATGGATTTGCATTGGTCTTGTCATCAATGGTTGCTTTTAATTCCTCATTACCGTCAGTAACATTGCATAGAGAGTATGGTTATCTGTTTCATGAAAAATTAAAACCAATTGCCCTAAAATAGGAATACAGAGTTACAACTCTAGCATATCAAGATAAACATTTATCTTGTGATTAGCAATTGTAATTAGTACTGTTTTTCTCATTTTGTTTTCTACATTCTCTTTGTTACTGTAGAGAAATTCAACTGATTTTTGAATGTTGATCCTATATTCTGCTACTTTGCTGAGTTGATCAATTTTATCCAACAGTCTTCTTGCTGAATTTTTAGGGTTTTCTAAGTATACTATCATATCTTCTGCATGTAGAGATAGTTTTACCTATCTTTGCCAATTTGGATGCCTCTTATTGCCTTCTTATGCCTCATTGCTCTTTCTAAGACTTCCAATAAAATATTGAGTAAGAATGGTGATAGTAGGCATTCTTGCCTGCTTCCTGTTCTCAAGGATAATTACTTTAATCTCTCTCCTACTTCATGGTTTCATGGAAGATGTCTTTAATCTCTCTCCATTGAGGATTTTCAATCTATGTTGGGAACAAATCTTAAAAAAGATACAAAAAAAGCTATACAAAGAGAATTTTAATACATTACTATAAAAAATAAAAAGAGACCTAGAGAAATATAAAAATATACCATGTTTATGGATAGGAAAACTCAATATCATAAAACTACAATTCTACCAAAAGCAATCTGTAAGTTCAATGCAACCCCAGTACAGTTACCAATTACATTCTTCAAAAAGATGGCAAAGGCAGTTTCTAATTTTGTCTGGAATGGAACCCTCCCCCCCATCAAAGAAGCACTACTAAAAAAGAAAAACAAGGTAGGAAACATCACAATAATAATAATCAGACAACATTGTACTGGTATTGTAACAGACACATAGATCAATGGAATGGAGGACCCAGAAATCAACTTGTGTAGCTGTGGTCAACTGACTTGACAAGGAAATGAAATGAAATAAGTGGGGAAATGACAGTCTCTTTAACAAATGGTGCTGGAGATATTGGAAAACCACCACAGAAAGCTGAAGCAAGACCCACAGCTCATATCACACCCAAAAACCAACTTAAGCGGGGTCACAGACTTAGGAGTAAAACCAAAGACTATAAAGTTGATAAGTGACCTTATGAGTTACAGACCTGAACCTTGCCCCTTCCTTCACTCAGGATCTCTGTGATGCCGTTGTGGTAGTCACTGCTCCAGTCCATCTCTTTGAGGGTCTTCTCTTTTGCTGACCCTCCACCTTTCCCAGCATGGTGTTGCTCTCCAAGGACTGATTCTTTCTGAAAATATGCCCAAGTGAGTTTAAATTTCATTATGCTTGCCTTTAAGAAGCACTCTGGTTGTATTTCCTTCATGACATTTATTTGCCTTTTTGGTCGTCTTTACTATATTCAGTATTATTTGCCAGCAGTACAATTCAGAAGCATCTATTTTTCTTCTGAAATCCTTATTCATTGTCCAGTTTTCAGTGTCAACCAATTCTTTTTGGTACAGTGGCTCTGTGTATGCTTTCCATCTTCTTTTGATGCTTCCGGCATCATTCAAATTTTGCCCCTAGAATCTTTCAGTATTGCAACTTGAGGCATGATTTGGTTTTCAGTTCTTTCAGCTAGAGAAATTCTAAGAGTGTTCTTCCCTTTCAGTTTTCTAATTCCATTTTCTTGCATGTTTCATTATAGTACTTTGCTTTGTTATCCCGAGCTTCTCTTTGAAATCTTCCATTCAGCTCCCTTACCTCATCAATCCTTCCACAATGCTTCAATTAATAACTAGTGTCTAGGATGCAGATGTTGGAAACAAAGAAGGACTGGTATTTGAGAAATATGGCTGCAGATCACATAAAAGTATTTTTTACAATGAATGATTTATTCATTGCAAATACTTTCTTTTAAAACAAACAGTATGAACAGACTTCACCTGATTGAGACTATATGGGAACCAGATTGACTACATCTTTAGAGGCATTATAGAATCCCAGTGTCAGTAGTCAAAACCATGCCGGGAGCTGATTGTGGAGCAAACCATCAACTATTCATATCAAGTTCAAAGTGAAGTTGAAGACAATAAAAACAAGTCCACGAGAAACAAACAAAATATGACCTTCAGTGTATCTCAACTTAATTTTAAAACTGTCTCAAGAATAGATTTGACTCATTGAACACAGCTAGCTGAATTATGGAATTACACCAGTAAACCAAAAAGTCATTGCAAAGACAAAGAAAAAAGAAGAGACTGAAATATATGTCAGAAGAGACCCTGCAACTTGCACTGGAATGCAAGGGAGGCCAAACAAACCCAACTAGTTTGCTTGAAACTGGTTCAAACTCATGGTGACCCAATGTGTTGTAGAGTAAAACTGTGCTCCATAGGACTTTAAGACTGTGGCCTGTTGGAATAAGATGGTCAGGCCTGACCGGGTGCCTCTGGTTGGGTTTGAACTGCAACCTTTTGTTTAATTGTTGAGCATTTAACTATTTGTACAGGCAAGGATTCTGTGCCAAAAGCCAAAAAGCCAGCATTTCAAGGTCAGAGCCAACATTACCAGGTGCTGCAAAGAAGCCTTAAAAAACAGACAGATCAAAACCTTTAGATATTACAATTAAGAAATCCACAGAAGACCTTTAACTGTACAATAAAAAAATGAATGAATGAATGAATGAATGAATGAACAAAAAAACAAACAAACCTGCTGAGAAAATGTCTAATCATTGTTAACACCGTTATTTACACCAACTTTTTACCATTTCACCTGATGGTTCATGTAACCATTAACTTATGCATGTTTCTGTCCATCCTCTTCTGTAACTACTGACTCACCCAAACAGTGCACATCCCAGGGAGCAGACCCTATGCCTGAATTTTAATGCCCAGGAGACAGAAGAGGTCTGATGGAGATAAAAAGCCATTCCCATAGAAGATTGTTGATTTCCTGAAATAGCATTTTTGGAAAACTTCTAAAAGTCTGTAGCTGCTGAATTGGTTCAGAAAATCTGTTACCCTAAACTCCCTGGAGATTAGGGCCTTGTAATTCTGATCCTTCTGCAGCAAGATAAGATTTTGGATTATATAGAAATTTCAAGCGTAGCTGCAGCTCAGTTCAAAAACTCTTTGTCTCTTTGTCACAGAGGTAACATGTTTACCAGTTTAGTAGGAAACCTTCAAGCCATTTTATTGCTCCTTTTGATTTTGAATCTTAAAAATAGCTTCATTTGCAAAGTGGATTTAGATGAGCATTTATAGGTAGGGCTTCTATAAGATGGTTTAAATTGTAAATAATTGATACAGGCATTATCCTCAAG